ATGATATATCATTATTATATTATGATACTTTATTATTATATTTCATTATGATATTTATGATATTTTGATATTTCAATATTAATTTTAAATGCGTTAAGCATTTATTAGGAAATTTTATATTATTCTGATATTGAATTTCAACATGCCTCGAAAAAATTTAATTTTTTTGAATTATGGAGTGTTGTTTATTGTTTAAAGTATATATTATTTTTTTTAGATCAATTACAATGAAACAAATGTAATAGTTTGTTCACCTCAAGCCATTGTAACAACTTATTGATCAATTGTCAATGACTCTGCTTTGAATCAGAAATTTATTGCAATTGCAGCTGATGAAACCCATTGTGTGAAAAAGTGGTAAGTGATTTTGTTATATAAATAAAATTGCTTGTTTAGTAAACATTGAAATTTACAACTTTAATGTCAGACCTTCTTTTTATATATAAAATTATTTTAAAATAACAAAATTTCGCTCAATGAAAGAAAAAATGCATTACCTATAGCATTATATGAGCAAAATTTTGTGATTTACATGATTCTATTTATACCTTATTTGTCTGTAATTTTTATAGGGAAAGTTCAAGTACATAATCAGATGTATTTCGGTCTCATGATAATAGACTCAGAACTGTGATCACTTGTCTCTAAAAGAATTCCAGAATTGCCATTGACAGCAACTGCAACTAAACAAAAGTTGTAAACGATAATTTTCATTTACTTGACTAGATTATTTATTTACTAGACGAGAAGGAAACATCGTAATAGCTGAGTAGGCGGAGCCAGCATTTGAACCTCCAATCCTGATGCTGCAGCCAATAATTATTCTGAACTTATAACAGTGCTTTAACCAACTGAGCTATCCTGAACTTATAACAGTGCTTTAACCAACTGAGCGACCATTATTGATAATCTTTGTATGCATAATTTAGTTATTATATCATCTACAACAGAAAAAAGAAATATTAAATACCAGATCTAGAGAAATTTTTCTACCCAGTTGTTCAAGATATTCTTTTAAATAATTATTCAGCTAAAAGAACTTTAGTCTTTTTTACAACTATGACTGATGTAAGATCAATTTATTGGTACTTTCACAAAGAACAAGGTCAAAAAGATGTAAAATATAAAAGATAGGCCATACGTTCAGTTTCATTCCAAAACAGATTTTAATGATGAAAAGTATAATAATACAAAACAAAAATATAAACAACCTCTAAACTTGATCAAGCGTTTTTGTTCGAAAATATTTTTTTGTTCGAAAGTATTCTACTATTCGTTTCTTCTGCTGTTGGTGTAGATATCAATATTTTTTGTGAGTTTTTTTTAAGAATTTCACGACGTCTTGAGATAGCATTTATATTTTTTTGTATTTTTGCTAATATTCTTTTTACATTTGTATAGCATATTTTACAAATACAATGATAGTTTTTTGAATAAATTAGTTTTTCATTTATGAAATTTCTATATGTAGGCCAGCTTCTGTAATTTTTCCCTTATTTCATAGATTATTTTTCATAGAACCATCATCATAGGATGAATACTTTTGTGTGATATCATGGAGACATAAAATGCACACGCTTAACGAATTAGGAGGTAAGAAAACCTGATAAGGTTGTGCCCTTTTTTTTTGGCATTGGTAAAATGTTTTTTTTTTAAGCAATGAAACATTTTTATTATTGCATTGAAAATCAAACAACTTATCCTCCATTTATTAAAAACTGGACACCACAGGGTTCCTACACCTCCTTAAAAACCTTAAATATTCTTAAAAAATAAAAATCTAATAAAAAGTAATAGTAATTTCTCTGTTTATATTTAAAATTTATTGAAAAAAATATATTAGATGCATCTTAAATTTGTTAAAATGGTTAATAATTTGTTAAAAATGGTGGATAAATGTTTTTTTTTAAAAGTTTATTACCCTCAACCTTAAACTTGCTAAGCGTAAATATTTTTCGCCATTTTTAATTTTTTTAAATAACCAAAGTTTTCTCGTCTGACTTCACAAACTTCACGGGAAAAAAAGTTAGACGAAATATCGTCTAGAGTAGTATATGTCAATGGCATAAAGCGATAGATATATTAAGAGACAACTCCGTTAACTATGTTGGCCCCTATAATATTGAAGCCTTTACTTCCTTGTCGGTTTGCCGCTTTTTTATTGATAAGGTTTAAGTCACCGTTGAATTTAAACATTTTAGCCATCGATGGATAACATACTCCCGAAAACGCCGACTTGAATACTCTTGTTGCATGAACATTTCTTCTTTCCCCCAAGGTGCACAGCTTTAGTTTGTCCAAAAGGGGAGCCGAATGAGTGTTTCTAGGTTTATGACAGATGATTCGGGCACACTGCTTTTGTATTATGTCAAGTCTATTTAGTTGCGCTTTGGATTCACCTAGGTATAATATGTTGGCATATTCTAGTTGACTCCGTTTAAGTCCTTTATACGCTATACTTAATAGTTCCCTCGAAAGCCTGACAGATACTTTTGCTAATAATCCCATACTAGAGTTGCATATTTTAACGGTTGTATCGATTTGTTCTTTGAATTGGAGATGTTGATCTATAGTGACTCCTAATAGCTTAACATGAGTTACAAGTTGAATCTTAGTATTTTCTATTTAATGTGTATGTTTTCAGGGAGTCTTTTTCTCGATGATTTGAACACTATCAGTTGCGTTTTACTGAGGTTAACAGTGAAACCATAATCAACACAGAATTTTTTTGTATCTCCATACGCTTTGACTAATTTTTTAGTGACAACTTGTAGTGAGCTGTCTGCAGCTGATAGGGTAATGTCATCAGCAAATAAATAAGACTTAGTTGTTAATGATTGTGGAACATCTCTTAAGTAGGTTTTGAATAGTTCTGGGCTAAAGTCTTCACCTTGAGGTACGCCTCTTATAATAGGCTTCCATTGGGTAATCATCTTGTTTCCACTTTTCCCCCTCTGAACCCTTCCTTCAAGGTAATTTTGGAATAGTTTACAAGCTATTTGGCCTAGTCCTATTTTAGTAAGCTCATTTAGTAGACTTTAATGTGGAACACTATCAAATGCTTTTGTCAAGTCTATTAATAGAGTGCCTACAAGTTTTCCTTCGTTTAACGAGCTATACCAGGAGTTAGTTGCTGTTATTAATGCAGTTTCACAGTTTGAGTTCTTCCTGAATTCAAATTGCTGGACTGGTATTAATTTTTTAGCTTCACTATATTTGGATAGTTGTCTGAATATTATTTTTTCATAAACTCTCGAAAGTAATGGTAAAACTGAGATAGGGCGATAGTTTTCCGGATCAGATTTTTTACCTTTTCCCTTCCATATTGTTGTAATATTAGCTTTTTTCCAGATTTCAGGAAATACACCCTCATCTAAAGATTTGTTTAAAATGATGCTTAGATTTGTTGCTAGAGAATTGGCAAATCGTTTGATTAATTAAGCTGATAGCCCATCATGCCTAGCTGATGAGTTGTTTTTTATTTGGTTAATTACGTTCAATACGGTTTCTGCTTTCACTAACTTAAACTTAAAGCTGTCTATTTGGTTACATCCATATGACCAGACAAGTGAAGTCGTATTTTTACATTGAACTGCTGAAGCTAGATAGTTATTTAGATTGTTTAAATTGATTGTATTTTAATCAAGGATTAGATTTTTATCTTTAGTATTGAAACACATTTTCGTAATATAATTCCAATCATCTTTTGGGTTTTTGCTTTAGAATGCTTATGTTCCTTTTTCTATTTCAAACTTTCTTACAAGGCTTTTGATCTCTTGGTAGAGTTGTTATTTACATTGGTAGAGTTTTTATTTACTTTATACTTTATAGGCATACAAGATTATGATCTATGACAATTATATCAAGGCACGTAGAGCAATTATTTGATATTCTAGTGGGTTTAGTATTCTGAACCCTAACTCCAGCCAGTTAAGTGAACATAATAGTGATTTACCTTGATTTACACTTGCTTTAATGAGATCTGCATTAAGATCACCATTTGCAATTAGATAGTTATTATTGGAGATTTCTTTAATTAATTTATTAAAATTTAGCCACCATTCATTTTTTGCTTGAGGAGCTTGATAGACACTTAACAAAACAACAGATCTTAAGCCTTTTGACATGATCAATTCTAGAATTATAAATTCAATGTTCAACATATGATACTTGTCATCAAATTTTTCAATTAAAAAAATTTTTTTTTTTTTTTGCATGTTACCATGCAACTAAGTAATTTAAGTTACCATGCGGCTTTTATAAATATAAGAGCCGCATGGTATTTGAATTTTAAAAAAGTTTAAATTTAAATTATAATCTAAATTTGAATTAACATTTATTAATTAATAAAACTTGAAAAAAACTTCCGTAATAATAGGACATCGGAAGTCAAAAGAAGGTCTCTGTAAGGTCAGATGCTGACGTCTCAGTAGGGTCAGATACTTGAAAGTCACATTCAAGTTGCGTTTTAGTCGTATGACCGAACGACCGTTATTGGACGTCAAGCGAACGTCCTCCTGACGTCTTGTGTTTGCTGGGTAAGAATGAAATAGGAGAATATGGCAAGCAAATTTTCAAATAAAATTTTTTATTCTAAATTAAATTTTACAGTTTTTCTTTCAAAGTTTAGAAAAAGAGAACAAGAACGTTAACCTCCTTTACTAAAGTCAGACAAAACTTAAGTTAAATTGAATATATAACTTTATGTTTTTTAATCGTAGAAGTTCGTAATGAGTCGTGTAAAGCGGTGTGGGTTCAAATCATTGGAGGCAAACGCTATTTTTCTTGTTACGCGTTATTTTCTAGTCCGTATTTAATGTTTTACGCTCTTTACTTATTATTGTTGTTTAATAATAACTAAACTGTTATTAGTTTTTATTTTAAAAACTTTATGACAAAATATTAGCTAGGTTTTCATCGATGATAAAGCCGTGCATTAGAATTATTTAAAAGCGTATTGAAATAATCCTCTGAATATAGATTATAAGTTTAAAAAAAGA